ACGACTTTCTACTTCGAGGACCTTGATAGAAATGTAGTGGAGTGAAAAGTACAATATTTGTCTTTCAAATGTAGTGAAGTTAAAGTCATAAGTTCCCAGAAAAAATAATACTCAAGTAAAGTACAGATACTCAAAAGTGTACTTAAGTACAATACTCAAGTAAATGTACTTAGTTACTGTCCGCCTCTGATATTCTCGTAGTTGCCAGTTGTGAGACAAGGAGGCATTGAAATGAACCGAGTTTGGAAAAATGAATATCGCTGCAATATTGGCGATTTCACTACATTTGGTATCAGCAAGAAAGTAATTGTTAATATACTGTGAATATTTCAATACATCTCGCTCTTCTATTGTCGTATTAAATCAATATTTCACATAACACTGTAAAAAAAACAGTGAACTAAGCCAGAAGAATGTCCAAACTTGAAACTGAAGTGTCTCCCTTGATATCTGTTGTGTTTCAGGTGACCCGGGTGAGCGAGGGCCAGCGGGGCCCCAGGGGCCCAGAGGAGACATGGGTCCAATGGGGCCACAGCCGGATCTTCAGCACATAAAGACGGGCAGACGGGGACCGGTGGTAAATCTGTTTTACTGACCACTGACACTGAGAAAACACTCCACGAATGATTCATATTCTCACTGTCGCAAATTTCTCATTTCATAATCATTACTTTTCATCTGTTTGTCCAGGGACGGCCAGGAGCGCCTGGTAAAGACGGACAGAAGGCACGTTTGTCTTGCTTTATGTAGATGAACACAGTATTGCTTTATGCTGTCAGTTAATGTTATTTATGAATGTAGTTCACAAACTGAATGCTGTGCTTGCTGTAAATGATATGAATCAGATGAATAGTGATATATGAGTTTGTGAATGTTTCTCTGCAGGGTGACAGAGGTTATCCTGGACCCAGAGGATCTCCAGTAAGTTCCTCCTCACTTCACTGATTAAACGCATCAGTAAAGAGTTACTCTGTGTTCATCTTCAGTCAATCTGCTCAGAGTTTGTTCTTAACATAAATATTGAACTTCTGCGCTTAACTCAGCTGAACTAAACCGCTTCACTGCATTCAGACTTTCATTTGTGGTTCATTTCACTCCCTCTCTCTCTTTATTTACTTATTATTATATATTTTTCTAAACTTTACACTTTTTAAGATAAGTATTCAAATTTTTATATATATATATATATAGCCTATATAAAAAAAGTCTTCAAATTTAAATACATTTTCTTTAAAGTATTTAAATGTGAAGATCTCCCATTGAAGTATATTAATAGATAAGAGATTGTTTTAAAATAGTACTTATAGAAGATTATACTAGAGTGTTATTTCAGTATCACTGAGCTACTTAGTTTATATATACTGTATATATATTTTTTTTTTTTTTTTTTTTTTTTCCATTTTTTAAAGTTTTTTTAATTTTTTTGTTTACAATTCGTGAAAAACGAACTTGTATTATGTCTTTGATCTTTTACTAAATGTTTTTTTTTTTTTTTCCATTTTTTAAAGTTTTTGTAATTTTATTGTGTGTTTTGGTCATTTTTATTAATGTCTGTAGTGTTTTTTTTTTTAATTATTAAATAAAGTCAAACTGAATTCAAACGAGAAATGTTTCTTTGCCAGCTAGCCGAAATAAAACTTTTTTTGAGTAAATTAAATCAAATTACATAAAAAATGTCAAGCTTTTTTATATTTTATGTCAGTTTTCACATTTATTTTATGTGGTTTATTTTATTTTATTTTTTAACAAAAATGTGTTTTAGTTAACTATAACAACTCTGCCGTATATACTTCATAGATGACAATGCGTATCTGATTCAGCATTTCTTGTACACAGAACCAAAGAATCAAAGCTGAACTGTTGTTGCTGCTGTTGTAAAAAAACTAAGATTTGCTTCAGCAAATGCAGGTTTAAAGTGAAATGCAGGTCGTTAAATCTCTCTCTCTGTCTCTCTGTCTCTGTCTTTCTCTCTTTCTCTCTCTCTCTGTCTCTCTGTCTCTGTCTCTCTGTCTCTGTCTTTCTCTCTTTGTCTCTCTGTCTCTCTCTCTCTGTCTCTCTCTCTCTGTCTCTGTCTCTCTCTCTCTGTCTCTCTCTCTCTCTCTCTCTCTCTCTCTCTCGCCAGGGGCCTCCAGGGTCGTTTGACTTCCTGTTACTGATGATGGCAGATATCCGTCATGACATCATCGAGCTGCAGCAGCGAGTGTTTGGGAAGAGGCGTGGCCTTTCGGTGAACACACCCCTTCTCTCCAGCGGAGAGGCGGAGCTTGAGGAGTGGGCGTCAGGAGAGGGAGAGCTGATCCCGAACACATGATGCTGGAATAACTGCTGCGTCACGCTGCATCAACCCAAAACAGACGAATCTGAGCAGGTAGAGTCCAGCAGCGGCTGCTTCAGATGAGGAGCACATGCATTATAAAATCATCAGTTCAAATGACATGCATAATAAATGCTGTACCTGAGGTCACTTGATCAGTGGGACGAAAAGACTCAAGATGATGCTTGGAAGACAAACGTGTGTCTGAGAATTAACTGGAACGGGTAGAGATTTGAATACTCCTCTTTTAGCAGTGCACACTCTGTATAGAACATCAGATGCTGTATCCCTCAACTTGACTTTCTATTATCTGTGTGATGAATGAACCAAAAGAAATAACAGCTGTGATTATTAATTTCTCTCTCCTGACTCATTATTTCATCAGACTGACAGAGGTTCAGACAGTTTTACTCAAAACTCAATTAAAAAGTCAATTAAAAAAAAAACAATTTACTTGCAAATTTACTAATTTACTTGCAAATTTTTAATCTCACAATTCAGACTTTGTTTCTTGCAATTCTAGAAAAAAGTCATAACTGTGATGTGTAAACCCAGAATTGCAAGATTTGACATTGCACAATTGAGTTTATCTTTAAACTTAATTGACAAATTTAGTTTATCTTTAAATTCTGCATTTGTATCTCACAATTCTGATTTTTTTTTCTCAGAATTTAAATAAAGGTTTTCAGAGAATTGTGAGGAAAATGTTAGAAGATAAAGATATAAAGTGGGCTATAAACTCAGAATTGCAAGAAAAAAGTCTGTGAGATAAAAAGTTGTTCTTTTTTTATACACTAGTACTCAATTTGGAGTCACAGGCAGAACTGATATCACTGAAATGCACATCTGCATGTAGAAATAGAAGTCTAATAGGGTTCAGTCATTCAGATGAATTCGAATGCATTTTAGCTCAACATGCTGTAATAAAACCATCTTTTTTATTCCTAACTGGACTCATTTAATCAGAAAGTTCATTTAGCTTTCTTATTGGTCTCAAGCAATTATGTATGGAAGCCTGTTTCCGCCACTGAATAAAAAATAAAAAAGGTAACTGCGACTTTTTATCTCACAATTCTGATTTCTTTTATCACAATTGCGAGTTAATTAGTCCAGTTCTGAGGAGGAAAAAAAGACTGTGTTCTCAGAATTGCAGAGTTTGAATCTCATAATTCTGACTTAATAACTCGCAATTGTGAGTTTATATCACGCAGTTCTGAGAAAAAGAATTCCATAATGATGAGCTTATTTGAGTGGAGCTTTTGAGTTTCTGCTGTTGATGTCCATCATTGAGCTGTAATGCTGTGTTTGATCCTGCAGGTGGAGCTAAACTACAGCTGACAATCACCAGACACTGAAAACTACTGAAGAGTTCAGTTCATTGTGAAGCAAGCCTCACAAATGAGTCTCAAATAAATTTCCCATCAGTCTTTTTTTTTTTTTTTTTTTTGGTTTGTTTATTGGCTTTTGCTTTTACTGTATAGAAGAGTAAAAAATAACTTTCTCATGAATCTTGAGATTTGAACGCATTCATTTATATATGTTTATATAAATAAATAAATAATCTAAAATGATCTTTCTTTATAAGTTCAGTAATTTCACTTTAATGGCAATGAATAGGTTATTTTCATTTTGAAACGTGTGTATATATATA